GCCGGCCCCGCCGCCCCTCGGCGCGGGGGGGGCCGGGGGGGGGGGCAGGGAGCCTTCTGGGTCTGCTTGGCTCTTGGAAGGTGTCCGAGCCCCAGGGAGTGCAGAGGGACACTGGTTCTCCGTGGTGCTGTCGAGAAGTGTCACGAGCCGGGCAGCACTTTGCCCCGTTGCTGCAAAGACTCAAGCCTCAACCCTCAGGTTTTCTTGGCAGCCCTCTTCTACACCAGGACTCAACTTCATGCAGGGCCCTGGGGGTATACAGTGACCCCGACTCCTCGCTCTTTACATCTGCAGGGAACATTTCTAACACTAAGTTTCTCCAGGGCTCAGCATTCAATCTGCAAATGTTTCTGGGAGCTAATTCCCACAGTCTGTTCTAGCTTGGGGCATGGATTGGTACTTCACTCTATATCCCTTCAGGGCTTGTGAGCGGAGGAGAAATGCCAGTTTTTCCGGAGGGGTGAGGATTGTTGGATCTGATGGATATGCAAATCTGCCGTCATACTTTTTCATTTTAATCCTTCCTTGTGAGAGGAACCTTTGAGCCTTTAGATCGGAGACATTCATGTATATTTCCCAAGTTAGTCGATTTAGGTAAAAAAAAATGTAAGCACACTTTACCATGATATGTCAGCACTATTGCCTAAAGTCATAGTTATAAATAAAGAATGAAACTTCCAGCTCTGATATTTCTACAGGTTTTGCCCCACTTTTTTTTTTTTTTTTTTTTTTTTTCCCCTAGTGTTGTATATCCTGTCTATGGGAACTCTGAAGACAGCAACTGTCTCTTACTGTAATGTGATAAGGCTTTACTTCAGTGGTAGTTTTACAGAAGGATCTGTAATACAAATCTTAAATTCTATTGATGTCTGTCCAGACAACTGGAAAATGGTCAGAGTTGTTCACCCAGTCCCTATTTTTCAACAAAATTCTGCTTTAGTATGCTCAATCAAAAAATCAAACACGAATACCTCTTGAATCATCATAGCATTTAGTCTATTTATCCTGTGCTTCAAAATTAAAAATCAAACCAAAACCCCAAACCAACCAACCAACCAAAAAAAATCCCTCAAAAATATACACCAAAACCTAACATAAAAAAGTCAGATCGTCTTCTTTCTTGGTCATTAATTCCTGCATGGATTTGGCTGGTAATGGAAATTTTAAGGTGATGGGGATGTGGGGGAATGAGCCTGCTTGTATCAAGTCTATGGGTAGCAATCTTGCAGGAAAGCAAGAGCAGAGAAAGAAGAATCAGTAATTGTACTAACTGAAGTGCCTAGGGACTGAAATGTTTTTACAGAATGACTCTGCTGACCCTGCCTTTCTCCTTACTTTGTAGATCAGCTGCTCTGAGTAGGTGCCAAGATGAGCAGCAGTGAAAGTTCATCTGGCAAATATTCAAGTGCTGTCCTAGATGATCTGCACAGGCACTAGTACACAAATCTTCCCACACTAGAAACATCTCAGGACTTAGTCTCAGTTGTGCCCGTGTGTGTGGGTGTGCATGTATATAAATTTTATTTCTATCTTTTGAACATTATCAATGGGAATACTGTAGAAAAAGGTAATAGTGGAGTTATTTTCAAGTGGGACTGAGTGAAGTCCAAAGTCTAAATCTGTGTTGTTGAAGGATGGAAAGGAAGCTCCTGAAGCCCAAGCCCTACGCAAGAGATCATACCACATGCATGTGATAAGTGGATCAAGCTTTCTGTTAAAAGCAAGTGTTTTATTCCCCACAATACACTGATTGTTCCAAAAGCCAGCACTTCCGAGAGGCAATTTGTTGTCCTCCCACTTAGAAGTGGTTTACTTTCCATCCTAAATTTGCCCATGGTGAATTTGTTCTCTCATTAGTATTGTTCCTTAGCTTAAATGCATCTTTACCTACCCTGAAGTTTACCATCCTCCCCAGTGCTTTTAAAGAATACACTGCAATTCTGCTCCAGTGGATAGACACTTATAGCAAGAAAATTGTCTAGAGATTGTAACAAAGTAGTGGTAAATTCACCCTGGAATCTGTCATAAAGTAGTAGATTTTCTTTTCCTTGCACTTTCAAATGCACTGCCTGATCCCTTATATAGTCCTGAAACAAAATTTAATCCATTTTAAGCCATAGTGAAAATGCTTATTATCAGATGACCTTGATCCTGTCTTTTATGACAAGCTTTTATTCTGTAATGGTACCAAACTTCCTCCCGTTCTCCTTGAGGTTTTCGAAGTTTCGCTGTGTAATTGTGCAGTCATCCTCCATATAGTCTCTGGTTCCAAATTTGGTGGTTCTATCAAATTCAATTGGTGTGGTCCTGCTTTTTGTGCTAACATAATAAAGTGAAAAGAGCTACCAATTCTGGTCAATCCCAATCAAGTTTCTTGAGGAGCATGAATAGTTGCTGTCTTCTGGTCCGATTCCTTCATAAATGTTCCTGTTCTTTGCCTACCTCACAGTTCTTAGGATATTTCTGCTTGTATAGACGTTGGTTTCTCATATGCTACTACATCGCATATGTATTGCAAACCCAAACTGAGAACTATTGGATATTCTACACTGAGAAAAATCATCTGAATACCACATAGAAGATTAATGTGACAAGAGCTTCCTTTGGTATCCTATTCTGTCTCCTCTCTCTCTTTTTCTCTCTCCTCTGTCCTTAAATACAGTCTAAAACCTACTGTAAAACTGCTGTCAGACTAAGGGGCCTGCACTTTCTCATCACATCCCCTCCCTTCCTGTTCTTGAAGACAGGTGGCCCATTTTCTTCAGTCACAGAGTTGTGTTCTGGTGCCATACAGATGGAAAAAGCCCTTACCTCTCACCCAGCAGGTCCATGTGCAGAATCTTGCAGAACCTGGCAGTGGGGATCAGCTAGCTCCTGACAGGATGAGTTTATTCACTTCTACATTTAGATTTTACCTTGTTGTGGTAATTGTGATCCAGCACCTTTGTTCCCAGTTTCCTCAGTTGTTACACTTTTATACTTATTTTAGCACAAGATCTTTGTCATCCAAGGAACCAGCTCATTTTTCTCATCTCACTTTGCTCAGCAGACTAAGAATTCTGTGCATACAGGGAAGAATAGACTCCCTGCTCTATTTTTAGCATGCAACATCCAGCATGTTTTGACTTAAATTCAAGCCTCATCTTCATTCAAGTTGTTAAGCTCCTCTTCAGCTTGAAAAAATTATTTTAAGTTGAATCCTGAGTTTATCAAAGTTTGCTACCTTGAATTTGAGAAAAGCAAGTCACATTAACCAAAAATACTTCAAGCCTACCAAGCAAAACCTTTAGTTGTAAACATGTTTTTTTTTAAAGTTTAGAGACTGTTTAGAGTCTCAGTCCACAGCAGGGGCAGACAGGATGCATTTATATGATTAAATGAGAAAAGGAAAGACAGGCTGCCCTGTCTTGAAATTATTGCGTGATATATAACCTTGTTCCCTGGCTGGTCAAAAGAAGAATTTGCTAAAAGAACCCCCAGCTCTACTTCATTCAAAATAAGCAAAGCGTCTATTTTTATTGTAGGGTCTGCAGGAACTACCTGATCATTGCACAGAACATTCCTGGAGGAATGTGAAACTTTTTAAAGGAGTTGTGTGAATGCACAAGAAGTTGTGTTTAACAGGAAAAGACACATATCAAATAAACAAACCCATAGAACACTAACACCTGAAACTGTGAGACTTCAATGACAGAAGAAACTTTTTTTAAGTCTGCAAGGCTAAATAATAGAAGAGAGTGCCTGCTGGCTTTAGAAGTACTGTTGAGCTTTGCAAGTGTGGCTGGTAGGATCAGATGTCATTCCTGGATCGTGCTGGTTTAGTTAGGAACTACAAGGATGATTAGGCATGCATGTAAGGAATGGCGTTAGTGCCTTAAGAGGTTTACCATTTTCTGAAAGTTACATAGCAGCTTGCAGTGTTTGTACCCAAAATGTCTGTACAGAGTTGGACAGGTTAGCATAAGAGACCGTGAACACTTGAAACGTTTCTGTGAAGTGTTGGCCTGGCTCTAGCTATAACATTCGCCATTGACTCAAGGAAGACCAGGGTTTCAAATAGACACTAATCAGCATTCCTATGTGTGACACCCTTATACACTTGGAATGTCAAACCAGTTCTAATATGACAGTAATGCAGTTTCTGTGACCTTTTCTCTTTTAATGAGAAAATTCTGTGTGTGAAATATACTCGGCTCAGGAAGGGCTTTGTCACCTAGCCTAGGAAATGCTAAACAAGATTAATATTTGCAGTTTTACAAGGAGGAAAGGGCATTTCTTTGGGGTAAAATACTGAAATACTTTTTCTATTCAAGCCCCTATGAAATATTATTTTTCCAGGTCTTGGCTGTAGAGTACAGTTGAACTGAAGAAATTTTCTGCCTGGAGCCAAAACAAACAGAAAATCACTAACAGAAATAGGGTGGGAACCTTCAAACAGAAGATTTACTGGTTACTGGTTTCAGAGGTGAAGAAAACACATTTAAAGGTAAGAGAAAATGGAAGAAGATTGCTTGGTATAACCTGAAATAAAAGAATCTCTAAATTTACTTGCAGGTTTTTGTAATCTGAGCATTAAGGTGATCTTGAAGGCTACTTTAGATGATACTTTGCTTGATTTTTATTCTCACATAGAAAAGTAGAAACCTTTTTCTCACAGGAATACAATGAGGATATTTATTGGATCTACTCTGCAAATCTTGGGAATGAAACAGACAAATCACTTAAAAATGTGATATTCAATTATTATGTGTGCACTGATATTATCACGAGGCTTTCTTAGCATAAGCCTCACAGTTCCAGTAGGAAGTGGGCAGTATGAATGCCATTTACATGTGCTCCCTGTTCAGTTTTTTGGTGTCTTTTGTCTTATACTAGAGACCACATCCAAAGCCTACTGACATCCTGTTTCAGTAGGATTTAAATCAGACCATACTTTTCTCCCACATTCAGTGAAACAATTACATTTATGAGTTTTAGGAATTACTTTTGCAGCACGCCACTTGTAACCAAATAGGATGGTTGCACTGGGTGGTGAAAGCAGTAGGAATCACCTTTTTCCCTGCCTCTTTGCAACCTCTACTTTCAGGTGCCTCTCCTGGTCTGGATTTGTGTACATAAATAGGTACTATATTCCTCTGGGTCTCATCCAGCTCAGATAGGTGAGATTGGATTTTGAAGTGGGATATAACATTTCATATTTTGTATGGGTCATGAGTAGGTTACTACACCCATGAAGTGAAGGATAGCACTCCTGAGCAACGTGACTACATGATTTTTCTCCCCTTGGGCTGGAATTATCGCCATATTCCAGTCCATAGCATAATTTAACCATAAATGCAGCAGCACAGAGTCAGCACTTACTGTGTTTGAAATGCCCATCCATCAGAAGTAGTTGTGGGAGAATGGGTCCAGTCTGAACAAGGGCTACACAGGATTTGCTTCTGTTTTAAGATTAGGGAAAGGATTATGACACAAAAGAAATCTATTTAATCTTTTGGTTTATGTCAAATTATATCAAATCAAAAGAAGGATGTGGTTCAGCCCATAGCCTCATATAAATAATGGGTTAATATTTCCTAAGAGTCATCTAAGAGATTAGGACATAAACTGTCCATTGAAATTGAGTCTAAATCCCCAAGTGCCTTGCAAAACCTAGCAATGTTCTCTGCTCTAAAGTATTGTGAAATTGTTAGGCTGCTCCATTTATTTTTGTAGTTGCCTAGCTGGTATAAATGGATGCAGTGGGGTTTCACTATTTTTCACTAGCTGAGGCACTGGTCCCAGAAGTGGTTGAAATGGAGGAGAGCTAAGGGAGAAATAGAGCAGTAGGCAAGAGCTGGATGGGGATCTCTGCTGAAATGTGTATTCTGTAAGCACTCGTCACAATTTTTTTTTGTTTTCTAGTTGTCTGAACAAAACCCCCCAAGTATAGACTGTTTTACAGACTGGTTAGCACTTGTTGTCTGGTAGAGAAAAGGTTCACAAACCTGCTGTAGGAAAGAAGAAACTCCTCAAATATTTTTGTGCAGCTCCAATATTAGAAACAGCTTGCTGTTGTTCACTGCAGGTAAACCCTTACAGCTAAACTATTTGGCTGCTAATACCTCTTTTCAGGTGCTTGGATGTGTTTACTTTTAAAGATGCATAAACCCCGCTGAGAATACTCACAATGGGCGAGCAAACATTGCGCCACCATTAGAAAATAAATTTAAATAAAATAATATCCCTTATGATGCTAAATGCACATTTCTAATCCTAACTTCATTCACCAGGTACGTAGCTGAGTCCCTCTAGTGGCACAAACATTTATTTGGCTTCAGCATGTTATTAAAATTCTAATTTACAGTCACATTATGGCAACAAAATCACAGGTAGCTCTTTCGGACACTCTGAGGGCTGTGGCAAAGTGAATCTTGGATTAGGTACTGTGCAGGCTGGCGTTAATGAATGTAAATTGATTTTTAGCTGTGAGGGGCAATTATAGATGCACTGGAAGAAAAAAGGAATTTTTGAAAGGATATTCTAGAACTAATTACTATCAGTAAGAAACACGCAAAGAGCAACGTAATACTGAGGACAGCCAATAGGGATAAAAGCTTATGCACAAATCTGTCATGACCTAGTAGTGAAGACTGTTTAAAAACACTGATCTCCACTTAGCTTGTAAATGCGCATCACCCTCTTTCTCACTCATATATTCTCTCTCTCTCTCTCTGAGACACACACACACACACACACACACACACACAGAGGCTCATGGATTTGCAGAAGACAGACATCTAGGGCACTTCTTGGCATCCACAGGAAAATCATATGGGATTAAAAAACCACAGCAGTAAGTACTCATCGCATTAAATGTTTATTAAGTGGCATGCTGTCAAAAAAATCTTGATTTAACAGTAAATGCAGGAAGACTTTAATGGAAATCGGTTGTATTCGATTTTTCTTAGGAATTGCTGAAAGCTGCCTCTCAAGGATTACAACTTTGCCTTTTGCTTTTACAGATGCTTGTTTACTATCCATGTGGTAACCTCTGGACAGCCAGTAATCCATTCATTACCCACACTGATTGAGTGCAGGAGTAGTGCAGTGGTAACTACTTCACTCAGCTGACGGCAGACGACAAAAGGAGGGAAATGATGAATTCGGATAATTTAACCTCCCAAAGCTTCCTCTCTGCGATTCACAACAATGCGAGCAATTTATTCTCAGGGCTCCAGTTTGTTCAGACCTTCAAGCCACTCATCATCCCCTGCTACTCGCTAGTGGTTTTTATTGGTGTCATTGGGAATTACCTTCTCATCTATGTTATCTGCAAGACAAAAAAAATGCACAATGTCACCAACTTTCTGGTAGGCAATCTGGCTTTCTCAGACATGCTCATGTGTGCGACCTGTGTACCCCTGACACTCGCGTATGCCTTTGAGCCCAGAGGATGGGTGTACGGGCGTTTCATGTGCTACTTTGTCTTCTTGATGCAACCTGTGACTGTGTTTGTGTCTGTCTTTACGCTGACTGTCATAGCTGTGGATAGGTATTACGCCATGGTGTACCCATTCCGCAGGAGGCTCACAATCCCTATTTGTGCTTATATCCTGGCTGCTATTTGGCTGCTGAGCTGTACCTTGGCTGCCCCAGCCTTGGTCCACACTTACCATGCAGAGTTCCCAGAACTGGACTTCTCCATCTGTGAGGAGTTCTGGTTCCACATGAAAAGAGATCGCTTAGCTTACGCCTACAGCACCCTCATCATCACCTACATACTGCCTTTGGCTGTCATCTCCCTGTCCTATCTGAGAATCTCAGTCAAGCTGAAAAACCGTGTAGTCCCAGGCAACGTCACTCAGGGCCAAGCTGAGTGGGACCGAGCGAGGAGGAGAAAGACTTTTCGCTTGCTAGTCTTAGTGGTGGCAGCCTTTGGAGTCTGTTGGCTGCCTCTGCACATCTTTAACATGATAAAGGACATAGATATTAGCTTGATTGACAAACAGTACTTCAATTTTATCCAGCTGCTGTGCCACTGGTTTGCAATGATGTCTGCTTGTACCAATGCCTTCCTCTATGCCTGGCTCCATGACAGCTTCAGGGGGGAGCTGAAGAAAATGTTTGTATGGAGAAAAAAGAAAATTGGACCCACTACAAATTGCATTATGGCCAGTGTGGTGCTGTAAACAAGAGCTGGTGGGAGTGCACTTCCTTCATATGATAACACTGTAAGTCTTCTCCACTGTTAATTAGTCCTGATTCCTGACATTTTGTCCTCAGGGGTCTATTATGACAACACATAGCTTCCCCAGCACCTCCACTCTGACTGGAGAAGGAGAGGCAGACATCAAGTGCCAGAAATGTCTTTACTTCTTTTACAGGAGTTAGAGGCCAAGGAGATGTTAGCACAATCAGATACCCTTATGTAAACTACAGGGATCCCTCCTGTTTTGGATATTGCTGGCAGTAGAGACATGTGATCTGGGGACAGGGAGAAGCAAGGATGAATATAAGACCTAAATATATCAGTGAGGAAGTGCTTTGGATTGGGAAAAAAAAATAAATTTGCATATCTACCCAGAGTCCAGTCCTTAGCACAGGATCCAGGGTGGAGGATTAACAATATCCCTGTAGTCCTCTCGGGTTAGGGCCATGCTGAAGAACTGCCTAAGGCTCTCTGAAATGCCCTTCCTGAGCAGCTGTCTCAGCTGCAGGCAGGAAACCACCTTAGTAGATGCTGCTCGGAGCCTCCCTCTGCCAGCTGAGTTGTGCTGGCAGCAGCAGTGTGCAGGGGTGTCCCCACTCCTGAGGGTGTGGGTGGGGTGTGGGCTGAGGGCATCAGCTCACCCGCACTCCCCCCAAGCTTCTTTGTACAAGTCGACTGGCTCACTTGCATGCCTGTGGCCCGTGGTGGGGTGTGCTGTGTCTTCCCTGCATGGTTTCCTCCCTCACTGCCATTTTCTCCTTGCCGCTGGCCAGGTGGATGGAGAAGCAGCCTTCGCAGCAGGGCTGCCCACCTGCCCACTATGGCCAGCCACATTGGGCAGGGATCTGTGCTTTGTGCTTTTGTCACCCAGCATCATCATGCAATCCCAAAGCTCCCGTGTCTTGTGCAGCACAGCATGTAGCAATGTGAGAAGCAGTATGCCAGGAGCAGAAATAAAACCAGAGTGATGTTATTCCTGTGAGGTGCAACTGTGATGCAGGGTGTGCAACAGCCTGTTTGGTGGATTTACTGATGCTGTCATCAAGGATGGACACACTGGAAATGTAATGTGTGGTGGAAAATCATCCAAATAGGAGGGCATTAAGACATACCACCACTTTATTGACACTGAATTGTGTTCTTGCCATGGTCTCATGTAACCCCAATTTGCTGACCCTATTACAAGTCAGCTGCACTGCCAGCCAGAGGAGTGGACGTCGTCACAGCCTGGGCAATGCTGAGGTGCTTTCCACTCATTCCTTGAGGAACTGATTTTGACATGTGGCAATGCTGCCATCATCTTTGATCTCCAGAGACAGCCAGAGACTTTGATACTGTCTTCAGGAGCACTTCTGGAGGTGCCTGTTAAGAGAGAGCGGGTGGAAGAGGCTGTTGACATTGAGCCGTGTACAAGCATTGCGTGACCAGTCGAAGAAAAACCTGTTAAATGGCACAGAGTGGCAAGTGCTCTCTTTTGAAGGAGTCTTTTGGGAAGAAACAATTTCCTTTGACATTCACCTTTCAATCGGATGAGGGAGTTAGAAGCTATAATCAACCTAATGGTTTCTAGTTTCTTCCCTCCTCTGTCTGAACTGAAAATGTCTGAGATAATAGATAAGCATAAAGGAAAAAATTCTGAAACAAGACATTTTTTCTGAAGAGGTTTCTTCCAGCCAGCTCAGCCAGAATCTGGGGTGGCATGAGGAACTGCCTGGTACTGAGCTGAGATCAGCCGGAGAAGCAGCACGGTCCAGGGGCAGTTTCTGCCATGGTCAGCAATGGCATCTATCCGACCACAACTGAGCATGGCCAGGAATGTATGCGCTGCAAGGCACTGCAGACAGTCAAGAGCGGAGAGGGAAGAAAGAGAGGATGGTTTCTCTTCTTCGTAAATGTATTCCTACTGTGAAACTGTGAATATCATTTTGCCCATCAGCATTCAGTAAGCTTAATCTGGTTAAAAAAATACACAGATGCGTATGCACACACTGGGAAATGCGTTGGAAAAACATTTGAAATCCCTTTTCACAAATTGCCTTAGAATTTCAAGCTGTTCTGTTGCTAGTAATAAGGAACTGGATATTAGAAGTTGATTAGAGGCACTGAATCAAGGAGGTTCTTTTAAAGTGGGCATTACTTGTGTTCTCTCTGTGATTAAGTGTATCTGTCGTGCTTACCTTGATTTAAAGATTTGAATGACCTATTAAAGCATGTTTTGCTTTTGCTAAACTTTAGGAAATTGTTCTTCCTTCAATCTCAATATTGCAAGTTACTGGAATAACTGGTGATTTTGAAAAGGTGAGAAAAAAACCTTCCAAGCAAACCAACCAAATTTTATAAGCTTTTCAGTTTTTGTTTCAGGGGTCTTTTGAACAGAACAAGGAGTAGGACACTGAGAGAGCACTGAAACAGCACTACAAAAAGCAGCCTTAAATGAAAACAAAATCCTGATTTTTAGAGATTTTTTTTCTTCTATGGAATAATGTTACTTCAAGCTGTTAATTTGTCATTTTGTAAAGGTTAATTAGCATTGAGATGGCCCATAATGTTTACAACCTCATGCACTAAATACAGACAGCGCTGTAATCCAGAGTGATCCAAAGCCCAGTGGAATAACTGGGAAGACTCTTGTTAACCATAGCAGGCCTGGGATCATTTCTTTTTTACATATTATGTTTTTACCCTTATGTGCCAGCACTACAGTTTGGTTTATTAATGGTCTCTTGAATGCTAGTGACTGCAGATGCTGCTGCAGAGAGCTTCACAAAGCAGATGAGAGAGATTTCTCTATTTGTTTTCTTTTTTTTCCTTGAGACAGAAATGAAGGGCTGTTCTGTGCATATGTTGTTCCCACTGTGAAGGTCGAACTGGGAACATCTCGCTATCAACAGCCTCTGGAACTGCCGTTACAGCAGTGCCAAGATCTGTCATCTCAAGGTCCTCAGGAGTGTCCAGCATGGCGGGCACTCTCGGTTAAGTGCTGGTTGAACCTGTACATGCCTTGAATCTGTCAGGACTTACGTTTGCAACAGAAAGCCCAGAGCCTGCCCCGTACTTCGGGCCCTTCTCAGGACTAGGTTTTGCAGGTGTACCCTGAAACGATCTGCACTTCCCAGCTGTGGGCTCCTGAATCTCGTTCTCTCTCCTCAGCAGCCCCCTTGGTTCACCTCAGTGGTCCTAAAAGGCCACTCTTCCAGGCTTTCCCTGCATGATCCACAAAGGAATTCTGGTCCTGAGCAGGAGGGCTGGGGGTCCCACAGGCTGCAGGGATGGAGGCACAACCACATTTGCTCAGCCCCACCTCTGAATCAAGCCCCAAGAATCTCTGCTTAATGTAATTACTGTTTTCTCTGATATCCAGAGTAATAAACAATAATAAGATTTAGAGGCATGTTAGTGTGCTTCTTTAATCCAGTTATGCAAATAATTATATTAAAAGCTGTCATGTGAAATGTGTTTGCTAATCTCCACCCCTCTCTGGGGAACTGCTGTGGTTCTTTGAGGGACCAGGGCTCATTGCTACAGTATTTTTGGCGGTATAATTTTTAATTACAATTTAAGAAATTATTGCAAGCTTAGATTTTATAAAGTAGCCCAGTTCAAAACTTGGTGAACCTACTAACTTTCCTTGTAAGGGTTTTAGTTGTTGTTTCTTGCTTACATTCGAGTCCGGAGACTTGCACACTGCAGGGCAGCTGCTCTGCGGGATGGAGCAGGGTTTGAGTCTGAGCTGAGGTGTGGCAGAATTCTATATGCTTCTCGTCTGCTGGGATTTCATTCCAGTTGTTTACATGCTTTTTTAGCAGGCAGAAACCAAGGTGCTCTGCATTTTACAGCAGCAAACACATGCTATTTATGATGGCTCCTCAGACTGTTCCTAAAGGACAGTCTCTGGTAAACACTCCTAGATGTACTATGGAGCTTGCACACATGCTCCGTTGTGGTGTTTTCGGGTAGGTATCAAATGCATTAGCCAACAAGTGCGTTATCAGAGCGTGGTGGGCTTTGAAAATGGAAGGCCCACTTAGGACCACACTTACTCATTGTAAAAATCACCTGGGAGGTTTCACTGGGGCCAAGCCTCTGCAGCTCAGAAGGCACTGCATATCTTAAATGTGGAGATTAATAGAGACATAGGAGTTGATGGAGAGAAACAGGGAAGAGTGAGATGTCTTCACTTAAAGTGAAGAACACAGATTTAAATAGCGGAATCACAGCTTCACAATTTGAAGCTATTATGCATAGGTGCTGGAAAGACTCACAAAGCATTGTTTTAGCAAATACACTGTAATTCCAGTGTTTATAGATGCAGAAATGCTTGATCAGACAAGCTACTCTCTATGGTCAAACACGGGATTGGTATTAAAAGGCAATGTCTTTACAAAACACATAAAAAAGTAAATCGGTATTTGATCAGAAATTAAAAAGGAGGTTAGATAGTGAACAAAGGTCACCAAGTCTGAAATCAGGCAGCCAAAGAAAAACAACAGTTAATCAAACCTCAGTTAGTGTCTGGTGGAGTTGGTGTCTCCCCCACCTTGAAAACGACAGCTCGTAGCAGTCACCACAGACTAACTTGTTTGTGCAATGCATTGCTTTAAATAAGTTTTCCTTATATTTGGATGAAGAAAACTGTGAGAGCTGTATTTGTATCATATTTGGGGAATGGCGGTTTATCTGGGATGGGCGACAGCAGATCCTGCCATACAGCGCTCACAGGAACATGGTGAGTGCTTCCCAGCTGGTAGACTGGAAAAAAAATGGTATTTTTCATACCAGCTGAACGACAGCTGCTCTATACAGTTTTAATTGAGTGAATCTTGCTTGTTGAGGTGTCAATGGTGAGTTATAATTAGATGTCTATGATTATGCAGGGAACAGATATAAACTGAAAAAGGTACACCTGCAGCTGGGAAAAAAAAAATAACAAATTGGACAGAACAATGCATCCATCAGTCTACCCACCAGATGAGAAGGAGGAAGAGAGAGAAACAACGTGCTCATGGTAAAGCCACTGCTGTCTTTGCCACTTCTGCATGAAGACACAGAAATTTTTACCCCTGGCCTTCCCCTCTCACTGCCCACTACCTTTTTATTTTCTCAGAAAAAAATAGTTGCATTTGTCTTGCTTTCCCTGGAGAAAAGGTTGCTCAAGGTTCAGAGCAAACATTTCTGCCTCATAGAACGCATGAAGAAATCAGGGAGGCTATCTAAAATGGAGATCACCCTCTTCTCTCTTAAACTTTTTTCCTGCAAACAGAAATAGCTAACACATAGTTTTTGCTGGGCAGTTCTGCAGCTGTCAGGAGCAAACCTGGCCCGTCTGCCACTTGGAGCACTGGCTTTTGTGCTTGTATCATGTAAATACCCCTCTCCATACTCAGTGACCTCAGTCTGGGTCAACACCACCACTGACTTTGGTCCTTTGTACCTGATTTCCCTTCACATCAAAGGGTTTGCTTTACAGAAAGTCCCAGAGAGCAACTTCAGATGTATCAAAGGTACCCTGCCCATATTAATGGGACCTTTCCTTCAGAAATCATTTCTCATGCTCCCTATTTCAAGACACAGTTTCTAGTACACACTTAACTTGTACTGATTCTGCAAGGTCCTTTCCAACCTAGCTGATTCTGTGTGATTCTGTGATATAACCACATAGGACAGGCTTTCCCCAGGCTGATTTCAACCAAGTTTTCTACGTTTTTCTCTGCTCCCTGCTCTCCCAGCCATCCTCCAGACTTCTGAAACAGTTGATCGGTAGAAACAGGAGCCTCAGGGGTGTTGAAATCCTAGTAGCTATCTGAAATTTGGAGGAATACTAACATTTTCTTGTGCTCTCCAGAGAAGGGAAAGACATGTAAGTGCTCTCTCCTTTAGGGACCCATCCAGGATTACATGGGGGAGGATGTAAATGGTTCAGAACTAGTTATGAGATGGCCAGGCTGCCTCCCTACAGGGCAAGAAGTGATGCTTTAAGGGCATGAAGCTCAAACATATCTCGTTGGGAGTTATGTCCCTTTGGGATCTAAAGATCTACTCTTTGCCAAGAAGGTGATAGGATTGACTTTCGTGCCAGTTGTTGCTTACTTTCCCTTTTTACAGCCTGCTTTGTTAAACTAAGTTAAGGAAGCTAGTAATTGATATAAATAATAAAACACACACTCAGGAGCTCCCTGCTTTGTGTCTCCAGCCCATTGGAAATCAATTTGGAATCACTGCTATCTATTTGCCGCTGACTGAGCTCTCAATTCTTTGCATCTTGTTTATGATAATTATCATCGTTACACTGTAATTTCCTTGTGTTTTCTTTTTTTTTTCTCTGTAGGGAACATACAAAAGGAGATGATGGCTTTAATCACTACTTCTACATTTTCTGCAATTCCTACATTTCCATTAGGTGCTGGAGACGTTTCATTCAGCAGCTAGCAGGACTGCAAAGAAGCTTGCTGCTTTCCAGCGTGGCAATGAGATCTGCCTCTCCTGCTGAGCACAGTTCTTGGTTTCCACATAACATTCTGGAAAAGCTCTGGCTCAGAGCTGCAGGAGGGGTTGTAGCGCTACAGTCTGTGAGAGTCTGGTGATGTGCATGGCACTGAGGATCGCTCCTGCACGCTCAGGGACCCCCCGGCAACATCACCAACAGTGATGTGCTCAGCTGGAGGCAGCTGGTGCTCCTGTGAGGCCGAGGTGTTATTGCTCTGCCGACGGTTTGTCAGCCACAGGGAGCTGTGTTCGGCTACCCCATCATATCCACGACAAGACAGGCCAATGCTCTAGTGAAAATGTGACTGTCAAATGACATGGTAGCTGTGACGCACTGTCACAGGTTGCCATCAGTCACAGCTCGGTTTTGTGCGACCAGCTACATTTGGGAGTGGGAAGGCAAAGCAATGCATTGTATTGTAAAACAAGCCTGTCTTGGGCTTGTGGAGGCAGGGCAAGACAGACAGACAGACAGACAGACAGAAAGACAGAAAGACAGACAGAAAGACAGACAGAAATTTTTTTACTTCAAGCAAATAATAACTACCTAAAGGTTAAATCTCTAACCACCCAGAGGCTGTGTTTCTGCATGAATGTGAGAGCTGCACAAGCCTTCTTGTGAGTGTGGTCCCTCACTGGCAGCATGTGCATTGGCGTTCTTGCACCTTTCCTCCCATCCCTCATCCATACAGTGAGCTTAAACAGGGGCTAGCCAGGTGTCTGCATGAAATGTTACTGTGAGGTC